AATGTTTAATTTTCATTTAAAAAAAAAAAAAAATCAGTTTGTACTTTGAAATGTGAAAAAAAAACTTACCTTTCATCTCCTTGCAATGCTTTTTCAATCGCATCAGGTAATTGAGATCTTAATAAATCATGGGTGATGCTGTGGGATCCTCTACACAAAGCGGATAATAAGCTAATGATGGTCGAAACAGACGACGAACATTTTGTTGTTTCCGGAGCCGACGTACTCGTATTTGCTCCGAGAGTGACTTTAAAAAAAAAAAATCAATTCATCATTATTATTTTGCCAAAGGGGCGAAGAAAAAAAAACTTTATTGAAAAATTATTTACCGGGTCCGTTCGTGACGGCAGCAGGACCTGCAGCATTCGACAACCGCGATAAAAGCTCGTTGACAAGTCCGTGCTCCGCTAATGGAGCCGGATCGACTCCGCGACGGGTAAACCTATCCGATAAAGATGCGAAACACCTCAGAGCTCCATCTGAAACCTAATTTCACGCAAAACGTTAACACCTTTTTCTTTTTACTCATCAATTGAACGGGGGGGGGGGGAAACTTACATGAGTATCTTCGTGCTTCAGTAGTGTTGATAAAGCTTCGACGCAAGCAGGTAGAGAAGAATCCTGAGGTTCCATTTTAGTACATAATCTTGAAACGACAGCCATGGCAGAATGAAGAGTGTCTTTGTGCACCCTCCAACCGTTATCGCGGATAAACATTAAAACGCATCCGAGACCTCCTCCCTCGAAAACCGCGCCCGCTTCTCGAACGCATATCAATTCTAAAACCTATTTTAAATAATAATAATAATAATAATAATGATAATGATAATAAAATTAATAACGGTCGAGTTTCGCGAGTTTTTATCATTTATTAATACCTTTATGCATTGTTCTGCCAGATCTTTACTTGTTCTTTCGCTAAAATCGGACACGACTAGTCTATTACAAATGGCTTTTACCGCTCCATCGATTGCGATTATACGCCTCGTGCATTCAGCTGACACATCCAGGTAATAGGTTATGGCTCTCGCAGTTACTTCCAGCACGTTGTCTGGAGCACACTCGTCAAGGAAAATCCTACAGAGTGCAGGCAAAAACGTTCTTGGTGGACAACTGGAAAAAAAACAAAAAAATCAACGATGATAATAATAATACTTTGTATAAAAAAATCATTCGAGTTCATCGCAATGAACTTAATTTCGTCGTTCTTTT